CTCAACGTGGGTTTACGCAAACCCATTCACTGGATTTTCGTTGTTGCAGATGTTTCCATGCCAATCATTGGTATAGACCTTCTACAACACCACAATTTACTCATCGATACGCGCAAACGGAGGCTAGTAGACGGAAACACTAATTTATCTGTTAGCGTAACTTCTTTTTCTGGTTGCAGATTATCTCCAGTCAAGACTAGGCATCCAATGGACCCATTTTATCAACCAATACTCGATAAATATCCTGGGATACACCAAACGCAAACGAAATTACCATGTGTAACCAGTAATGTTACACATCACATCACGACCACAGGAGCTCCTGTATTCTCGAAAGCGCGCCGACTGACTTCCGAAAAGCTAAAGAATGCGAAAACCATTCCCGATCGTTACCCGTTGTCTCACATTCACGATTTGACAGCTACCTTGAAAGATAAAACTGTCTTTTCGAAAATCGACTTGGTTAAAGAGTATAACCAAATCCCTATGGCTACTGACGATATTCCGAAAACAGCTATCATAACTTCCTTCGGACTCTACGAATTTTTGCGAATGCCTTTCGGTCTAAGAAACGCTGCACAAAACTTCTAAAGTTCCATAGACGATATCTTTCGAGGTCTCAACTTCGTACACGCGTATGCTGACGACTGTCTAATAGCCAGTCCAGACAGAGAATCACATCTCAAGCATCTGGATTTTGTTTTCGAACGACTACAAAAACATGCATTACTGTAAACATTCAGAAAGGCCGAATCGAAACTGACTCACTGGACTTCCTAGGACGCACTATGGATGCTCAAGGCATTCGACCCCTTAGAACAAAAGTGGCGGCAATTCTGGTTTACCCAAAACCCAACACCATCAAGAAATTACGCACGTTTAACGGCCTTGTAAGTTTCTATAGACGGTCTATACCGAAATGAGCGTTACTTATGAAACCTCTTACTGACGAACTTCGTGGAAATGCGAAATCCATTAATTTGGACGACACCGCACGAAAAGCATCCTCCACAATTACAGGACTTATCGCTCAAGCAACAATGCTTGCTCATCAGGACACCCGAGCACCCATTAGTATTGCAGTAGATGCATCTGACTCAGCAATCGGAGGAGTTTTACAACAATGGGTTAACAACTCCTGGCAACCTTTGGCATTTTTCTATAGACGGTTTCTAGACACTGAATCAGGGTACGGCACATTCGGTAGGGAACTCCTTGCTATGTATTGTGCCGTATGGCATTTTCAAGGCTGTGAATTCACCTTCATACATTCAACACATTTCTGGAGCAAACAATGTAGTTGCAGACGCCTTGCCTCGAATAACTTCCTTGAACAGTTTCCAATGAATCGGCCTTCTGAAACCCTCCCAGCTTCTAAAAGAAGACATTGACCTTCAGCACGAATTATCATCTACAACACTCAAGCTACGCATCAAATAAGTGGGAACAGGTAAGGAAACCTTACTTTGAGACACATCTACAGATAGGGATCGCTCAATCGTGCCATAACGTTATCGACGCAACGTCTTTAATACGTTGCACAAACTTTCTCACCAAAGTGTTCGTGCAACAATCAAGCCTACAGCAGAACGGTTTTGCTGTCCTGGTATTAATAAAGACGTGAAAGAGTCGGCACACCCCTGTGTAGGCTGCCAAAAATCTAAGGTTGCCGGACACAACAAATATCCCTTAGGCTCATTTAAAACTCCTGATGCTCGTTTCGATCATGTTCATCCGGATTCGGTAGGAGCTTTACCAGATTCAAATGGATACTCTTATCTCTTAACCTGCGTAGACCATTTCACACGATGGCCAGTAATTATCAAGGACATCACTGCTCAAACAGTGACCCGCGCCTTCGTCGAACGATGGGTAACAAACTTCGACTGTTCCTCAACTACCACTACAGACCGCGGACATCAGTTCGAATCTGAACTTCTCCGTTATCTGACTACAATTTTAGGAATCACTCGCATCCGAAAGACCACCTACCACACACAAGCAAATGGGTTAGTAGAACTAAAAGCTTCACAATCAGCTGCAAACGTTTCACAGTGGACCGGAGCTCTTCCACTCGTCTTACTAGGTATCCCCAATGCAGTGAAAGCTGACATTGGATACACTGCGGATAAACTGGTTTATGGAACGACACTTCGACTCCCAGGAGAATTCGTGGATCCTTCATCCTCTTGAATGGGCATGGATCTAACCTCCTACACGAACAGGCTTACGAACGCAATGCGTTCAGTTAAACCTGTTACCACTCGACCTCAGTCAACCGATGTTTTCGTTCAACCTGACTTACGATATAGTACACACGTCTTCGTACGTCGAGACTCGCATCGACGACCTTTCGAATCAGTAAATCAAGGACCTTTCAAAGTTCTTCAACGCGGATCTAGTACTACATAGCCGATAAGAGTGGAACAAACGATAGCATTAGCATCGATCGCCTCAAAACAGAGTATTTAGAAGGAAATCCCATACACGTCGATGTTCCTTTAGTATGATCGAATGACACGACTCCCACACTTATAATACCTCATCCGAAAGCCAACACGCACGACGATACTTCAACAGAATCTGAAAATAAACCTAAAACAACGCGTTCTGGAAAAAGCGTGTGATTTCCAGAACATTCAAACGACTACCGCACGTAAGACACCAGTTAACATTTTGCTTCATCTCGATTTTCCACAGCATTATATAAAATATTAAAAAATCAAGTTTCATATGCTTATATTTATATATATCTATTATTTTGCTAATATGTATATTAAAAATTAAAAAACACTTTGTAGAAATCGATTTTACGCTATCACATGCGTATGAGTTTATTTTCCCTTTTTCCGCCCACTTTGTGTCTTAAACCGCGTACGAGTTTATTTCGACATGCACTTACATATTCTTTTTTTCTTTTCCAGGATGGCTGGAAAAGAAGATAAAAAGAACGATGAGGTTTACGAGGAACCAAATTTCTCATTGTACATTATTTTTTTACTATATTGTACTTCATGGTCACTTATAGTAAGGAAGCACGACCAGACGATGTTAAACCTAGCAAGATATCAGAAGAGTGTTTACCAATGACAAACTCGTTGGGTTTAAACTTCTGGCTGGCCACGTCTTAGGGTCATTACCAACCCACTAGGGGGAAGTGATCTGTAGCTGTAAAAAAATCCCCAAAATAAATAGTTCTGCAGGCTTTCGACATTGGATACTGACCACATTAGTTTTAGTGGACTCACCTAGCTGAAGGCGCTCGGGCATGCATCCGCACCAGATCACGGGTAAGAACGCCGTGCTCAACAACCCCTGAAATCGCTAGCCAGGTTAGATCAGATGATCGTCGATATATTGATAGCCCATCAAATATATCTTCGAACCTCCTCGCTTCTGTCTTTTGATTTCACTGGGTGGATACGATTCATATTAGGTGTTGCTGGGTTAAAGCGTTGTCAAACTCCGAATACCTGTGGCATCTTCAAGATTTCTGCTAATTGTCGAAGCAGTTGAGCTGCTGAACACTGTTTGAAAGCTTTTTTCAAATGAAAAGCAAACTATAAATTATACGAAGCAACTGTCATTTCTCGAGGATTTAGTGAGTGATATCCATGATTCGGTATCAGACGTGAATAGAACCATCAATGTGAGCCCTCAAAACGCCACAGAAAATAGGGAAACCAATGCAGGAAGAGCTAAAAGGAAAACGAACAAGAGCGCAACGAAGCATCAAATAACCAGGAGTTCCAAAATGCAAGTTGACGGACACAGCCACGGATTTCTTCATCAACGCAACGAGAATTTCTCAGTGCGTCATCTGCACATTGCAGAAGGTCAACAGGACTGTATGAGTTTAGTCCTAACGTCATGTGATGCATCGCATGATATGTTGTTAACGCTGTAACTATAATATATAGGATATAAGTCAGTGACTTGACTAAGTGCCACATACTAGACTTCTTTGGAACCTGGAGAATTGAGGAATTTTTTGATTTCTACTATAGTGTATCAGAAACCTTTTAGTGGGTTGTCAACAGTAATTTAAGATGAATTTCGAACGTTTCTCGTGAAAACCAGTACTTAGTGGAAAACTGCAAGGCTGTTATAAGTCGTTTACTTTATATTCTATGTATAATTAAACTCCAGAGCGATGTTAGGTTTATGCTGATGTCAATATTTAGCGAGAAGTAACAAGAGGTGCAGCAACTTGTACATTTTAGATCGACTTGGATGTTCTGGTTGGCTGAATTCAAGTGCCAATGATCCTTATCAGCAGGTCCGACTGTGCTTGTATACAAATCCGGGCTACAGAAGCAAATAATTACAGCATTGGGTAAACACCAGTACCCACTACAACAGTGATCTAGAGGCAATAGTGAGATAAGACTCTAAGACCACAAGTGACTATAGGGCAGTTTCAAATAATCATTTCGAAACTTCTTGGCATCAAGGTCAACATCTATGAAGTTGAACATATGCGTGTCCATCAATGTGCACACCCCTGGCGGGATCGAAACCAGAAAACTGTCTTCAGGCTGAAATCCCCTGTTTAAAGAAAGAGTCTGATATCTTGGAAAAAATAAAGTGGGCGGATACCCATCTGATTTCAGAACTTTATGGTTTACTTTATACAGGATTGCTTGATAAGCTTCACCTCTCTAATCGGTCCTCCTTCAGATTAAAAGGTGATCTAATTTTGATGTAAAGAACTGTTAGAAATGATTTTGGGCCTGACACATCCTCTCTTTTTTCTCCTACAAGATCAGTATAACTCATAATAGGCAAGTTCAAAAACCAAGAACAAACAGAATACACGTAGCATAAACATTATCAAACCGAGTTATCAACTTTTATTGTCTGCACTCTTATATGTCTCCCTCAAGAGACGTTTATACATTCGCATAAGCTTATTATAAAAACCCACTACAGACTCTCTGCCTTCTGTTCTCAGTACATGCATCTGAACCTGAATATATTTGAAACTGGATATTTAGGGTCATATTTCGACCTACAACGTCTGAAGGTCGGGTTAAGCGGATATTCGGATGCGCTCATTAAGCTTGGTCGATCGTGTATTTTTTAAAGATATATATACCAGCAACTCACGTAATCTCTGCTTATACGATGTGGACAATGATGGGGTAATCTGTGGTATTATTATACCTTATCTTTATTCCTACCTGTCAATAAGCCCATGTTTCACAAGGTTTAAATTAATATGCGATGTAGATGATGATATTTAGCCTAATTAGGACTATTCCACCTTAAAGCTCACTGAACAGTGAATATTTTTAAGAACTCCCTGCCAGTTGGTGTTGAAATTTTGCTGAAATAAGTTTCTGTGAGCTTAATTAAGCTCATTTAAATGAGACTAAAATATCTACACATCTTTCGAATTTTTGAGGTTTAAACTCACCCCCCCCCAGCAACCGGACAGTTTTGTCTTACCAATAGCCAGAAAATCAGTTGAAGTGGAATTCGTTACAAACTCGCATCTGACTGGTCTTCAATCTTTGATTCAACAGTGAAACTGGAAAAAGCTGAGGTAGTGGTATCAGTAATGACCACAGTCAAATATAACGAGGAGTAAGCAAAAAAAGGGGAAGAATGTACGGAACAGTATCAAAACCCATAGTCTATGGGAAGACAAATAACGGCTACATCTGCTCCATTGAGACTACTTTTCAGTTACTTCATGGAAAGTCCTGGACTATGTATCATACTTATCCTTTTCTTTACCTTAGCCTAAAGATCTGTGCCTACCAACACAGATTACACTAGCCTTTAGTTACCATTTAAACTGATTTTAGTTTTTGATTCCGTCCTCATTGGTACTATTTATCATAATTCGCTAGGTAGAATTAAATATCAGTGTAGAAGCTTCCTGGACCTTTTTAGCACATGTCACACCGGCCTTTGTAGTAAATATCTCAGAACTACCAGCCGGAACTAATGTGAATCCCATTAATTGTTGTGCTAATGCCTTTCGTAGTAGTTGTGAAAATTCGGTTTCAAATATTATGTAAATGTCATCACATCCTAACTGGAGCTGTAGTCTAATGTCCTAGCTATTAGACACTCAGTATTCGGGTCAGAGGCTGCATTTCATGTTGTTCGGTTTGATTTCCAAAAGCTTAGGGTTCATCGATGGTACTCATATAACCCCTATTGCCCAGTTTATTATGTGGACGGATTTATCACCATTTATACGCGAGTGTGTATGCAACATCCCTCTAAGAAAAAATGTTTTTTTCTCATTTGCTCAGGATAATGAATTGATAATTGGCTCTTGGGATTCTGGACCCTTACTGGAAAATGGAGAAGCCAATGCAGCAAATAGTGAGGGTTCCGTCCATGTGCTAAAGTATAGGAAGGTATGGAAGGCATCTTATCATCTTGGCATGGTATGTTCGTCTTTTCTACTTAAAAAGAGGATTTCGACTTTGTTTACAGGTTTCGTGTGTTACGGCAGGTAGTATATACAAACCCGATGAAGTTAGTGAGTCCATTCTGATGGACTTATTTGTTTGAATGAATTGTTTTCTAGACATGGATCATAGCTTTGTGCGCTGATTCACATTGCTATGCATTTGATGCTTGTGCTCTCGCTCCAGAATCTGTAAGTTATCATTTCTATACTTAATATTAGTGCATTCATGACAAATAAGTTGATGTTTTCTTCAAAAAAGCGTGCGATTTTCTTAATAAGCTAATGTAAGTGAAATGAATTCTCGAAAACCGTAATAGTTATTCGTCCTTGTTCTAGAACTTCTCAGCAATGCATATCTATCACTTAACGATTCAACTCAGGGATTTCAGCTTTAGATTCAGTTTTCTCCGTCCTTCGAATGAATCTTTCCACAGTTTTTTTCTGTACTCCATATGTCCTTCCACCTTGTAATTAAACCAGTTGTTGCATTCGAGTATCACCAAAACTCTCCAGTCGGTAATAATACGAGTAACAATTATGATTCATTGCATCTGACTGGAAACACTTAGTAGACGGATGGTAGATGATATGGTCTTCGACTAAAAATAAACTATGGACTACGTAGTAGGACATTGTTGTTTCAAATATTTTAGTGCCTCTTTTTGTCCCCGACAAAGTTCATTTTTATATCTCATTACTTAACACTACCGATAAATTTTATGTAGCTAGGTCTCGTACTGCGGACCGGTAGTATATCGTTAAGAAAATCTTTTTCCACCTTGTTGATCTGTCATGCTGAAGCAGTAAACGTATCCAGAAAGTTCAGGGTTAGTCTTAACGTTTTGCAAGGGTTAAATATGCTACCTGGTCATCCAAACCGAAATGAATGAAGCGAGTTTTTAACATATAAGTCAGTGGTCAACGCATATCAAATACTTAAGATCCTAGGCCATAGCCCTTATGTTGGTTTTATCACATGTTTATTACATACTTTCCAGAGGACGTTTTTTTATTCATTGTTATCCATACCTAAAACATCATATCACACACCACTACATAATTAAATTAAGTAGTCATGACGACCTTGTTAATACTTAGTATATTTACCTCCATTGTCTGTTATTTGATAATATAGGTATTTCATGTATCATTATGAAAATAATAATTTCTGTTAATTTACACTCAATAGATTTGAAAAAACTTTATTCATAAGTGTCTGTATTTTTACACATCTATAGGAAAATATTTCAAGTAAATCTAAACAAAAAGTTAACGTTCATGGTTCTTCAAAGCCTGATCAAACTATCAAAGCAGAAATTGACACATTAAAAATGGTTCATCATCAAGAATTAGCCTACAATGCCAAAGATGTCTGTATATTTAATGAAGGTAAGATTGATAGGTTATGGAATAATATAAAAAATGTATTTTTGAGTTCTTAACTTGTTAATACTATCTAAGGTTAATTGTATTTTCTCTATGTTAAATTACTTGGTTGATGGATTTATTACTGGATTTTTGCCTCTGATTGTCGTAACATGGTTCAGTGATGTATAGGATTAGTAAATTATATCGAAATGCCTTAGAAATATTGCTCACATCAACTGGGATCATCGGGTAACTAATAGTGAGGTGAGATGCAGGGTATTAGGAAATGACCGTAAATCAGTTGATGGGGTTGTGATTCTTCATCGACTGAGATGGTTGGACCACGTGCTGCATATACCTGAACACCGATTACCACGACGCGCAAAGCTTACCGGTGTTGAGAATGGTTGGAAGAAATTTAGGGGCGGTCAAACCAAAACGTGGCATCCGTCCATAAAGTCACTAACTTGTGGTGTGAGCCATGTTAGTAGATGCAAACTACTTGGTTGTGGTCCGTGTGACTATCGTAACCAATGGTTGGAGACTCTTGGCGACATGGTTCAGAATCAATCACAATGGCATAGGTTTATACACTCTATGTCTTCCCTTAAACTATGGGATTAAAATGGCTTCATATCTTTCTACGTACTAATTCTTTCTCTCTGTATTATATCCTTATATACAATCTTTCTTTTGCATATTACTACCATTGACTTTACTACTTCCATGAATCCGGTGTTCATCTTGCCGTTCTAATGCAGTATGGCAACTTGGACCGATGCACATATGTGCCTGGTCTAACGTTGTAGCTGACTGACATATCGAAATCCTCTTTTGGTGTGTCTTATATATACAGCTTCAACTATGGAAGTTATGTTCGCTACCTTCAAGGTGATGGAAGTATTCCTCACAAGTGTTGCGCAATGATCGAGAGTTTCTAGTGTCAAGATGGTGTTAACGAATTCAATCTTCACCTAAAGAAGTTCAAACAACTGGGTTGCAAGTGAATGTTACACATAAATTCTAAGACCAAAAAAAGAATGCTTTTAATCTAAATCTACTTTACTTACTATCAAGTATAGTAAGGTAATGTCTTAATTTGCTACTGCTCTCTAGATTAAACATTCAGGTTAGCCAATAACGTATAAACGTCTAGCTTACCTAATTGGTTTGGTTTATGCTACCATAACCCTCACATAATTCACTATGTAAGTATGAAAGATTCATTGGTATTTATGTTTCAAGTTTGTATCTAGACAATAAAGATCTGTAGATTCATTTTGATGATGCGCTTCAGAGATATTATGACCAAAAAATTATCAGATCTCTTTACTCATTAATCTACGAAGATTTGTATTAGTCAGATAAACTATATTGACAAATAATTCATATTCAAATGACAATGTTTGTCATAAGTTCAAACGGAAAGCAGTGTATTCCGTAGTGACTTATGCAATTACCTAATTTGTTCATGACTCCGTGTCAAGTAATACTTTCCCATACAACGTAATTTTATACAAATCCAGTGCCATGATACGAAAGTTATTCAGTTCACCTCTAAAACCCAGTTGACCTACTTAGTTGTCATTTGTTAATGGAATGCTGGATTTTATAATATATTGTTGCCCCAAAATACCCTGATACGGCCGAGAGTGGGGATAGTCCACTCACCCTCTTGAAATGCTCTCACATGGCCACGTGCATACAATCACTGTCAGGGAAGTCCTACTCATTGCCTTTTCACGGCATTATTGTTCTTTACGAAATTGAGAGGATGAAAAGCGAATGTCCGGCACTTTAACCGGGTTGATGGACACGGAGAGTCCACCTAGGGGAGTTGAAAAACGCTGATTCCAAACCAACCGTGTAAATGGGCTCCAGGATCCTGAGGGAACAAAAGGCTTATGAACCAATTGTTAGTCGCCGGCTACCATGGGACTGCATCTCCTGACGTTACTCCACTGCCTTGTGGATCAGACCATTAGGTTGAAGGCTTGGGATGTGGCCCCCTAAGAAAACCACCTGCTTCGGTTTGGGCGCCCGGACGGTATCCCACCCCTCACACAAATCGAATTGTTTATGTGGCGCATATCTATTCGATGCCTCCTCGTATCAATGTTTATGTTTAAATAATATATTATTATCATATCAAACGGGGATATGGCTAGTGATAATCTGAAATATAGGTTAGCGAAAGTAATTAGCAGGATATTCTACTCAGCCAATCTTGCGTTGACTTTCTCGAGTCGACCAACGATGTCTACGTGAGTCGGCCTCCTCAATGTGCATTTATAAATTCAGCTGCTCCTGTGGAGATAGCTACATCGGGTATACTATCAGGCAACTTAAACAACGAATGAGTGAACATCTCCCGGCTTGGTTTATGAAGGGCCATATAAAAACAATACACAGTTCTATCTTGGCACATCTAATTGATAGTGATCATAATGTAGATAAGTCGGAATCATTTCAGGTGATCGATTGTAAAATTTCTTCTTCGTTTCTTTTTTTTATTTTAGGAGAAATTGCAGTAGCTCATTCTGATCGTGTTGTTCGATTATATTCATGGTGTTCATTTAAACCAACTGATGATAAATCTAAAACATCATCAAATAAAGTATCAAATTTAGGAGAATTTATCCTATTAATAAAATGGGAATTAGCTGGTCAGGTAGATTGTTTATACAAATGTGATTGTTTAATTTTGTTTAAAATGGGATAATTGACTTTCTCGGAGCATAGGTATCCTCTTACCTGATGCTCGACTATAATTATATTTCTCAATATTGTAATGGTGTTCTACTCTGTTATGTGTGAGATTTCATAGTCGTATTTCTCATTAAAAGCTTAACCGGAAAAGTGCGTAAACCTTTTGAATCCTTCTTAATTAAACATTAATAGTCTGATCAGTGCTTATAGTTTACTGCTATCAGAACCTTTAACTTCAAGTGGTGTTCTTCAAGACTTACCACTATCTCCCTTTTTATTTGACTTCATTATAGATATCTTCTCAAAAATCACACTTTCTTCATCTAACTTTCCAGCTATTAATCATTCACCCTACTTACTTACTTACTTACACCTTTTACTCGTCGTGGAGGAGCATAGGCCGCTCACCAGCACTCTCCATCCAATCCTGTCCTGGGCAATCCTTTCCAGTTGTTATTCATCCCTTTCATATCTGCTTCTATTTCCCGACGTAATGTTTTCTTTGGCCTTCCTTTTTTCCGCTTCCCTTCAGGGACTCCGTAGTCTCGAAAAAGTTTTTATAATGTTCTTCTATCTACACTGCCAAACGCCTCATAATCAGTGAAGTTGATTTATAGTGACGGGTTCCACTCAACTGATTGTTCGACGATGATCCGTAGTGTCGCGGTTTGGTCTGTGCACGACCGATCCTTACGGCATTCATCCTGCTGCGTCATTCATCCGGTTCAGCAACACTCTGTTGAATGCTTTCCCTGGCACTGACAGTAGTGTGATGCCTCTGTAGTTTTCACATTTGCTCAGATCTCCTTTCTTTTAAATCTTGATGAGGTGTCCTTTTTCCCAGTCCATTGGCAATTGTTCCTCCTCCCAAATTTTTCACCCTTCCCCCCTGGAAACTTATTGATCGACATCGAATAATTCCGGGTTACATTTCTCATCATCACTATATTAGATTGTGTCTGAAATATCGGTAAGATTTCAAGAAGCTTGGTCGGTGTTTGCCAATATGTACTAATGGCGTAGGCGACTGTCCTGAGATTCAGGGTGATGTGGTTCAAAATCAGTCACAGTAACATAGGTAAATTCGCTCTTTATTCACCTCTTTCATATATACTTTCTTTTCATTCCATCTAGAACCATATTTCCAGTGTTAGTTTTTCTCATTGTCACTACTAATACAATTATTTTAATCTCTTCCCTATTCATTTTGTAAATTTTTACCCTTTTTACTGATGTTGTATGACAACTTAGACTAAGATGCATTTGTTCTAGGCTCTTTATGAACTGCGACTGAACAATTTAATCAATCAGAACTTTGCGGTATTTTGAAATCATTGGTCAGATGCTGATTAGCAATTAAAACAAATTAATATTGATAGGAGATAGATAGTTCACAGCCGTCAGTGGAATCCATAATGCGGGTTTCGTCAGCTGTATTCACTTGAATCCCTCTGTTGATGTTCATATTGATACAATTAAAAAAAGATTAAATTAAATAAATTCAAAATGTGCCTTACGAATTATCCAAATATACATGTTATCCTCAAATGGCACATTCGATAGAGATCACCATAATAAAAAGATTATCAGAATGGAGTCTTGTGGATATTGTAGTAGTTTTTAATAGTTGAATACAAGAGTCGATTAAAGCGAGACTGAGACCAAAGGTCCTGGGTTCGAGTTCGCGTGCGGGATCGCGGATGCACACTGCTAAGGAGTCCCATACTAGGACAAAATGGTCGTCCAGTGCTTCCAGGCTTTTCATGGTGGTCTAGCTTTAATCGACTCATAAATTCAACTATAAAAAGTAACAAGAATAGTTTAGGATTTCCACAAAATAAAACCGAAGCTTCAAGTAGACTAACATGGATCCATGATATTTCATTGTATTATTACTAGCTGCCTTGAATGAAAATATAATACTTTCATAGTAAATGAAGTTGTTGGAAGACGAAATTATTCTTCGTTTAACTCTATCGTTATTTTGCTTGATGATGTAGGTAACGTAAGTTGGCAAAAGCCAAATGAGCTTTCTGAATCTATGCAGTGATTTTCTCAGACACCAACTCATTTGGGCTGACCAGACTTTTAAGGCCACTTCACTTATCTTAGATATCTGATCAGCCCAAATGTGTTGGTTTCTGACGAAATCTCAGGACGGATTCAGAAAGCTCGTTTGGCTTTTGTCAACTTATGTCACCTATGACGAACGCGAGATATCCGTCTATCAATTAAGGGGCGAATATACTGTGCAGCAGTTCGTTCTATTTTACTTTACGGCTGTGAAACGTGACCATTAAGGATAGAAGATACTCTTAAGCTACTAGTATTTGACCACAGATGCCTTAGAAATATTACTGGCGTCTGCTGGGATCACCGGGTAAGTAATAGTGAGGTTAGACGCAGGGCATTAGGGAATAGTGGCAAATCACTTGATGAGGTTGTGAATCTTGATCGACTGAGATGGTTGGACCACGTGCTGCGTATGCCTGAACACCGATTACCACGACGCGCAATGCTCATCGGTGTTGGGTATGGTTGAGGCGGTCAAACCAAAACGTGGCATCAGTCCATAAAGTTACTAACTTGTGGTTTGAGCCATGTTGGTAGATGCAGACTACCTATTTCGGGTTTGTGTGACTATCGTAACCAATTATTGAAGATTCTTGATGACATGACTCTGAATTGATCACAATGGCGTAGGTGTATACACTCTTTGTCTTCCTTTAAACTATAAGATTAAAATGGCTTCATATCTTTCTACGTACTAATTCTTTCTTCCTGTATTATATCCTTTTATGCAGTGTTTCCTTTACATATTACTACCATTGACTTAACTACTTCTATGAATTCGGCTTTCATCTTGTTGTACTAACGAGGTGTAACAATTTGGACCGATGCATATATGTGCCTTGTCCTACGTTGTAGCCGACTGACTGATGATGATATAGTGCATTTTTCGTTCTTATAAAGAGATGAAATTACTTAAATTTTAACATAAACCACGTATGTTGTGATCATGTATCAAATATAATAAGAATTCAAACGAAGTTCACAAACGTTATGGAATAAATAGAACATGTCTGACAGTTGGATTCGAGTAGCGCCTGTTTCGTCCTGTGCTCGAACTCTTACTAAAGTTCTTTTTAAAAAAGGTGATCGAATTAAATGTGAATTCTATGTTCAAATTAAAAAGAACAACTAGAAAATCAATTATGGCCGTAACAAAAAGCTATAACTTAAATATATAGATATTTGTAATATAATAATGGAATTCATGAGTCAATTGAAGCTAGACTATCATGGGAAACCTGGAAGCACTGGACGGCTGTTTCATCTTAGTATGGGATTCCTCAGCAGTGCGCATCCATGATTCCGTTTTGCGAGATTCGTACCCAGGACCTATCAGTTTCGCACATGAGCCCTCAACCTCTAGACTACTGAGCCATTTTCCATGGTGGTCTAGCTTCAATTGCTATAATATCCACAAAACCCCTCTCCGATTATATATGTAATATCCCAACGAGTTTCGTGACTCAGTGTAAGCCACTTCTTCAGAGAATAAATAACCAAATTAATCCAAGTTGAAACAGAATAAGGCAAGAATATTATGTGCGATCAATCAAAAAACAGGTCTGAACAAGTCAATGTCATCTCATTTCGGTCAAGGTAATTTATAAGTGACATGTATGTAAATGTGTGTACAGGGATTTAAAAATGTGACCTTTGTGGTGCGAAACGATAGAGTTTAATTTGTATATACGATAATAGTGTGAAATGTGAATGATATCTGACATGGTAGCTTAGGTAGATAGTCTAAGTCAGATGTATAGTTAGGCCTTCTTTTCTATTAAGAGCAGTAGGATTGAGCATTATATGGAAAGCTTCAGCTACTCTCCTTTATTTGTAGTTGGAAAAACCTTTTTGTATCCATGTATCCATGATATATTGAGTGGTTGTGGGTAATCGACAAGATACTCTAAACAAAGATTTCGTGCTAGTTGACATTCTTCAAAACAACTATCAGCCAATATCAAAGTGAGAATCTTCAATACGAAAGTGAAGACAGTCCGACTGTGTGGAGCTGAAGCATGGAGAACTACTACAAACATCATCAAAAAGGTACAAGTATTTATAAACAATTGTTCACGCCAGATACTCAATTTCCATTGACTGGGTACCATCAGCAACAGACTACTGTGTGAGAGGACAAACCAGCCTCCATCTGAGGAGGAAATTAGGTAAAGGCGTTGAAAGTGGATAGGACATAGATTACAGGAATCACCAAACTGCACCACGAGGCAAGCGTTAACTGGGAATCCTGTAGAGAAGCGGAAAAGAGTTAGGCCAGAGAACACACTACGTCGATAATTGGAAGAAGACATGAAAAGGATGAATAGCGACTGGAAAGGATTGCTCAGGACGGAGTTGGATGGAGGGTGCTGGTGGGCAACCTATGCTCCTCCATGTGGGGTAACAAGCGTAAGTAAGTAAGTTTGGCATTCTTCAGTAAACTGTACTACTTGTAATCATGAGTGAACTAGTACTTGATGTGAGACAGAATATTGTGCAATTTTGAACCTTTGCTTATTGGTCTATGCGTTGTATGTGTATACATACTTCTCAAGATGTTGATAACAGTAATAATAATAATATTATTATTACTCTCGTTTAAAATCACCTTCAGGTCAACCGAATCGATACATGCCTAACACAGGAATATGGTCTTATTGTAAGTATTGATTTTTTTAATCTGGTAACATGTTTTTTACGTAATCACATTTGTAATCTCTTGATATACGAATGAATACTATCTCTCTGCCTATATATAACCCTAATTATCTCACTTTCGGGTTGTGTGTTACCTTCGATAACATCGGTAGCTCGTATGATGTATTCATTAAACAATATAAGTTACCTTCTGTGACTGTGAATCTTGATCATCTTTTGTAGTTAATATATGTATTACGCATGGTGTTGGTCATCTCGTACCTTGACAAATTATTCTCGATAGAACAGGAATAGATTGAAAATAAGTAAGTACCAGCAAACTAAGACGTGAAATCAACACATGAAACCATTGACTGTTGAAATGAATTTTGTCCGGATATGTAGACTACTTGCTGGTTAGGATGTTTGCTAACTCTAGGTTGTCTATTCACTCATTCAAGAACCTTACCCCAGGATCTTCGGTCTTGTGAGAAAACCCCTAACCTCTAGGTCACTGAGCCTGGATCCAACGGTGTATACGTATAACTGTAATCAATTCAAAATATTGTGCTACCATCTCCCATTGTCCTCGGTACCATCATTAAGAAAATATATGCAAGATATTTTTAAGCCACCATTTATCAGGTGTCTATGTTGTTCATCGCTTCAGTGTACAATTCTAAAAAAACACTTCCCGAAATATCTAATATCGAGTTTATTTACAAAACAGACGATATAGACAACACACCTGGATCCAGAACCATAGTTGTACACAACATTCGAAATGATGACTAAGAACACAAAAATTGTGGTGTGTGGATGTGTCGCTCAATTTTGTGGATTAGTTGAAGTTAGACATTAATACCGTTGGATGCCGACCCAGTGGTCTAGTGGTTAAGCGCTCGCACGCGAGACTGATAGGTCCTGAGTTTGAATCTCGCGAGGTGGGATCGTGGATGCGCACTGCTGAGGAGTCCCACAATAGGACAGAACGGCCGTCCAGTGCTTCCAGATTTTCCATGGTGGTCTAGCTTCAATTGACTCACGAAAATATGTTACGCGCTGTGCCCAAAAATTTGTCGAAACCAAGTTAAGTACTGAAAATTATTAAGTAGTATAATTTAATACGCAAAAAAAGAATTAGATAGGAAAGAAAGATAAGGGGTGCAAACAGAATTAGTAACATCCATTTAATGGACGGAATACGCTTGAAAAGTTACAACACAACTATTGGTCATGGATACGTTGTAGATAATCTCAACCTTTTAAAAATATTTCAATTACTTTATCTGTAATTAGTTTTTCTCATAAAGTTATTGTCAACAAAATTGCATTATTCATATATGATACGTAATTATTCTCTTCTTTTTGTTTCAACTATAAGCTTATTGCTTCACAGCCAAGTGGAGGATTTGCACATTTACATCGAAAATTTGAAAAATATCACGATATAGTTGCGTAAGTCCTTCAATATGTCCGATTTTAAGTGTTTACATTACAATAACCGTAATTATTATTATTTTGTTTGGACGCATAAACATTGGTACAAACGGGCACCGAATACATATACGGCACATAAATCATTCGATTTGTATAGGGGCTAGAATACTTCCTGGATGCCCAGATTAAAACTGGTGGTTTTGTTGAAGGACCCGCACCCTGAGCCTTCGACCTAAAAGTCTGATCCACAAGACAATGGAGCAATGTCAGGTGATGCATTCTCATGATAACCGGTCACCAATAATTGGTTCATACGTCATTTGTTCCTTCAGGATCCTGGAGCCCATGTGTACCATTGGTTTGAAATCAGGGTCTTTCAACTCCCTTAGGTGGATCCTCCGTGTCCACCAACCCGGTTAAAGCACTGGACATTCACTTTTCGTCCTCTCAATTTCGTAAACAGGCGTGTCGTAAGAAGGCAGTGAGTAGGACTTCCCTGGTAGTCTTTGTATACGCGTGGTCATGTAAGAGGGAGAGTGGACTCTCCCCACCCTCGGCCGTACCAGGGGGCATTTTAGGCTGTATTAACACTTGCATTGGGTGGTATTTTTAATAGGTACTTTTGACCTCTCTTCGTCCATCCGCAGAAATTAATGTATGGAATATAAATATCCAAAACACTAGTTTTTGAATTTTATACCCGGAGTATCATTAACAGGATTTGTCCACAGAGAATATATGATGTAAGTAGGATTTATATTTCATCTACATCAGTAAAGATTCAGTCATTATGGTGTTATTCTATGGCCCGCCCTAAGCAAATATACTTAGTAAGGCCTTCATTTGGATTTTGCAAACTCACACCACAGCGGTGAATTATCTAGTTTTTTGTCAAACAATAGGTTTACTCTATAACAAACAGTTCACTGACGTTCTACAGATGTTTAACGATGGTCACTATAAGTTGATAATACATATAGGTTTTATATGTTTCCTTGACGATATCAAGTCATTCACCAATTTAATTGATAAAAAAATTCACCTGCCTAGAGTTAATTATCTTTTTTTGCAAACCGAATATTACTTACGCCTGTTAACCCTCGTGAAGGAGCATAGTCCGCCCACCATCACTCTCTATCCAGGTCTAGCAAACCGAATATAATCTACAATTACTATCTTAATGTTTTCACAAATGTTTCCATGTTCTGTGAAAAAATAAAGGGAAATCTTAACATACTACTATTTAATAGTTGAATTCATGAGACATTCAGTCTCGAGCGCGAACGCTTAACTTCTAGACCACTGAGCTGACAGTTATCCAACGGTGTTGATGTCTAACTTCAACCAGTCCACGAAATTACGCGACCATCTTCCATTGTACTGAAGTAGATACCTGTCTCTACTCGACACGGATAAGCTCCACTGGTCACGACTCCCCACAATAACTCTGGAAATTCCCTCATGAAGCTAGTCACTAATGAGCACATGGTAATTATCAGTATAGGGTTGTGGAGAACATTAAGTTTTTGATTGAGGTCATGAAGTTGAAGTTAGACATTAACACCGTTGGATGCCGGCTCAGTTGTCTAGAGGTTAAGCGTTCGAGTGTGAAACTAAAGGCTCTGGGTTCGAACTCCGTGAAAGGGATCGTGGGTGCGCACTGCTGAGGAGTCCCACAATAAAACGAAATGGTCATCCAGTACTTCCAGGCTTTATCTTCTCCCATTAAATTAACTTTATATTTTCTTTCATATTTATATCAATTTAATGAGGATATTTTTATTTTTGATAGACCAACATTAACCTATTATCCTCCACGTGTAACAAGTTCTAATAATTTAGAAACACGTACATGGCTTATTGGTAATGTGAAACATTCAAATTGTCATAATAATAACAATACTACTACTACTACTACTACTACTACTATTAACTCAAATAAGACATCATGTTTACTTTGTTTATGTACGGCTGATGGAAATATGCGACTTGTCGATCCAACAATACATGGTAATGATAATGAGGAATTAATTATATGGTCAATTCAAGTGCATACACGTAGTGAATTATTTGCTTTGTGTAAAATGAAATTAACTGTAAGTTGTTATTTTCATACTACTACTATATATATATGTAGAGGGAGTAAGCTTTGTACCTTACTATTGTGGTTGTACAGTATACCTACTTTGTGTTCGTGTAGTTATCTATGCATTGAATGAAGTTGGTGTTATTAAGTTGAATTCTCTAAGTCAGATCGTTTAAACTCGAAATCTCCGTTGTCGTTTTAGATAATGCCATTGACGATTACTTCTTCTAGAAGTTTAAAACTCCATGAAGTAGACCTCCGCTTCCTTGTAGTATATATAATATACATTGAATTATGTGACAGATATTTAGGAAAGCACTTAACTTCATCACAAGTCAAGCGCTCACTTGGAATCCTCAAGGCCAAAGGAAAAGAGGAAGACTAAAGAACATATTACGTCGAGAATTGGAGACAGATATGAGAAGAATGAAAAATAATTGGATAGAACTAGAAAGGAAAGCCCAGAATAGAGTGGGTTGGAGAATACTGGTCGGCGGCCTATTTATTTTATTTTATTTGAACACATATATATTAGTACAGGAGTGCGCCAAATATATATGCCCCACACAATTTCAGTTCATTAATTGCGTGTGGGCTGCGATACTGCCCGGGTGCCCAGACCGAAGCAGGTGGTTATCTTAGGGGGCCACACCCCGAACCTTTGATCTAAAGGTCTAACCCACAAGGCAGTGGAGCATCGTAAGGAGAAGCAGTCCCATGGTAGCCGGTGACCGAAAATTGGTTCATACGCCATTTGTTCCCACAGGATACTGGTACCCATGTGCACCATAGATTTGGAATCCGGTTAAAGCGCCGGACATTCGCTTTTCGTCCTCTCATTTTCGTAAACAACACCCCCGCCACGAAAAGGCAGTGAGTAGGACTTCCCTGGCAGAGGCTGTATACGCGCGGCCGTGTGAGAGTATTTCGAGAGGGAGGGCGAACCCACCCCGCTCTCGGCCATACCAGGGCGTTTGGGGGCCTATGCTACGTTGAGAGACATTTATACTCTAAAGGAGTGAGTGATTACCTATTAGAAGTACTTTACAAAAGTAGGTTAAAATTGAATTCAAACAACCTATGTATAACATAGTTTACTTATCAGTAAGTAACATATTACTATTTAAAGCATTCAACTATCAATTATTGGATCCTGTTAGTTCAGAACTTGTCTTATCCTTATTCTGATCGGTTAGTTAAACAGATAAGTAATAGATATGGGAAATCATGACTCAAGATCAAGTACATCAAATTATCCTTAATGACTAATCTATATATATAATTTTGTAACTCTCTTCTTTTCTTTTCTCTATATTATTAGAAAGATGATGGTGATCAATTAGTTGTTTGTTCATGGGATGGTACTACATATATATTTGATATAAATAATAATTCATTATGTTTTCCATTAGGACGTTCATGTCAAGCATTTACAGCTGGTTTATATGCTATAGAACCTGGTCGAAATTCACCTGTATTAATCTATTCAACATTTGATCGTAATACATTAATTTATTATAATTTATGCTTAAATAATATTGCTGCACAAAGTTTACATAATACCATATTAAATGATCATATATTAGTGAAGAAATTCCAATCAAAAAATGTTGATCGTAAGTTGTACACAGTAGAATTTAAATGTTATATCTGTTAGTCTTATTAGTTATACAGGATAGTTAGGAAAGGTAAGTGTTGAATTCATTCGGGTATTAGTTTACTTGAATCTTCTCATTGATCATCAGTCTCTTGTTGATATATGTGCATCTTGTGCGGATTGTCTCAATATTGCCCTAATTCACAAACATTCTAATCAAAGATGAATAATGACTAACAGTGAAATCCAGGAAAAGGTGCATTTCGTCCTATTCGAGACTCGTCAGCTAGATTTACCTGTATCTTAGAGTTGATGTTCACTATGGGACTTAAATCTAGTACCGTTCGCTTCAAACGCCATCGCGTTATCTACTTAGATACTGAGTCCTAATGTATTATCAAAAGTCATATAAATTTTTGTATGCGATAAATCTATTAATTAAACGTGCTACTTGGCACTCGTCAACAAGGTGTGCCTATAATCTTGAGGGAACTGGTGCACCCTGACGGATTTGATCCAGTGTCGCCCAGCTTTACAGTCAGAGACGTCACCGCTGGGCTACCCGAACCGCCTTGGTACGGCCGAGATTGGGGAGAGTCCGCTCTCCCTCTCGAAATGCTCTCACATGGCCACGCGTATATAGCCTCTGTCTTCTCGTGCCAGGGGTGTTGTTTACGGACTTGAGAGGACGAAGAGTGAATGTCCGGCGCTTTGACTAAGCTCGTGGATATGGAGAGTCCATCTAGGGGAGTTGGAAAACCCTGGTTCCAAACCAATGGTGCACGTGGGCTCCAGTATCCTGAGGAAACAAAGGGCGTATGAACCAATCGTTGGTCACCGGCTACCATGGGACTGCATCTCCTTACGATGCTCCACTGCCTTGTAGATCAGACCTTCAAGTCGAAGGCTCCGGGTGTGGTCCCCTAAGAAATCCCCCTGCTTCGGTTTGGGCACCCGGGCAGTATCACAGCCCTCACACAAATCAAATGAGATTTGTGTGGCGCATATGTATTTGGTGCCTCTTTGTACCACTATCTATGTGTTCAAATAATAATAATAATAATAATATTGTTAATCAAACAATAGCTTATTGTTATTAGCTATTACGTCATTGAATTGAAACTTCTTCTATTCAATTGTTTCCAAACAGTAATTAATGTATAGCCTGGTATAAACATGCATTTTAAATCAACACAACAATATGAAATCGACAAGATGAATACCAAATAAGTTCAAATAATCATAATACCCATGATAGTGGGAAAGACTATACACTGATAATACAGTTTGCGAAGACAGAATGAAAAGGTATGTATGAAAGGATACTAGGGCCAAAAATCTAGAGGATAAAAACTGAATATATCTGTGCTACTGTGATTGATTCCCACCCATCTCCAACCAGGCAGCCTACACTTATCAACAAGAACCACAGACCAATAATCAATGTTGGTTTCAACAGCCATATAATATCTGCACCCCCCTTAAGATATCATATATACTATGAGCGCCTCAAAACTTATTATTCTACAAAGCATGTAAGGCTATTATTGGTAAGTTTGTCAGGCAATCCACTCCAATACTCGAATGTAGAACCATTCTGATGACGTTAAGTAGAGTATTGGATTGAAGATATTATGAACTGATGAAACTTAAACATTGTTTTTTAATGTTTCAAATATGGTTCATATAATCATACACTATTGAGAAGTCCCGTTTTCAACAAAACAATTGTCTATTACTCAACTGCTAGTTCATACAAACTACTTCCACCCTATAATTTACCTAAAAATCATTTAGCAATTACAAAATTATGTACTATATTCTGTATTAAATCATTTTAACGTCCTAAAAACTTAATAGTCGGGTACCCGTAAAACCTCGGGATCAAAAATCTGCATTGATCAGAAACAATATGACTAATAAAATTTAAAAACTTCGAATTTTATGGCGTCTGGAAATCGACAACACAGTCACAGATACAGCTGAAAGGAAGTTACAATCTTCAAATGCATTAAATTACAGCATATGCTGTAAACTAGTGAACAGTATATGGCTGTCAACCAAGCATTAGCAATTAAGAAAATAAAACAAGCTTAAGTTTTACAGAATCCATACATTTTCAGTGAACAGCTGCTATGTTTGAAGAAATTACGAGTTCACCTAAATCTGCGAACAGAATAAAGACTCTTCATGTCCACCAACCCGGTTAAAGCGACGGACATTCGCTTTTCATTCTCTCAACTTCGTAAACAACACCCCCACCACGAGAAGGCAGTGAATAGGACTTCCCTGGCAGAGGCTATATACGCGTGGCCATGTGAGAGCATTTGGAGAGGGAGAGGGAACTCTCCCCACTCTCAGCATTTGGGGGCACTCAGCAACATAATAACCAAATAAGCTAATTATTCCGATGTGTCCCAGACCCGCTAACTAGAGAGAGAACTCCAGGTTTAGAAGAGGGAAAATATATTCCACAAGCAACCAGAAGCATAACGAACAACAACCAAAAGCATAACTCAAGCGTATATATATATATACAATATAAAAATGTCCTAGGGAAACATTACAAAACAGTATATTAAAAGAGACAATGAACCAATGATATTTAAGGTCCTTCCAAATGGGAAATACGATATGAAGGAGAAAATGAATGCTTTATTCCCAAAAACAAATATTTAAATTCCCAAAATAAGACATTTACCAAGTGAATTCTGAAGATCTAGAATCCCTAATGATAGCACACATAATCATATCACAAGTCTCGAAATGATTGATAATAACACAAACTACTGAATATTATTAAGTAGTAGAAATAAAAATGCAAAAATCGTGCAAGATCAGCTGGGTGTTAGATATGATGTAATATTCCGTTGTACTTTCCATAGGAAATATCAAAATATTATGATATGATTACCATTAACTTCTTTTCCCTATTATATTTTATCGCATTCTGAACCGGATCACATTTCATAAATTTAGATAATTACTAGTACTAATACACAACACAAACATCTATCAATTGTACAATAGAACATTACAAGACACTTGTCATCCCATATCAGTAATTAATTATATGTAGGATGGACCGGCGAGACTATAATTTATGGACGAACCAATCAGATATAAGATAACAGGTCTTAGATTTTGGCGCGAAACTCATTCATTCATTTGGCTAAATGGAGTTTTGGCATTGTAGTTTATCTCAGTTTGTGATGAAAACCCCTAATCATTAACTGTAAATCATAATTCTAATTCCTCACACTGGTTCATAAACCTCATTTGGTCCTAGTTATTAGGTGAACACTCTCAAGGTCACTCAAAGGTTATCCACAAACTATAGTCTAACCGATGGACCATAATAAAAACCGCTTCTATTACAAAAACGATCATAGTAACAGTAGTCTTGTTTAAAATATAAATTTTTGAACTGGGATCCATGTGCTACACAATCTCACTACTAGTATAAATCAATCGATATCTTTGTGTTTTGTCTATCGCTCTATGATAATATTTAACTTTTTTTTTAAAAAAAATTATTTTCTAGCATATGACTCTGCACAATTATCCAAAGCACTTCATTATATCTTATACGATTTACCTAAACAAGAAACTCATCCATTACAATGAGCTCATTTGGGAATATCCAAATATGTTGTGTTTTTTTTTGTTCAAATGAAATAACATAAACTCAGTATTACTTTGTGATATTTCAGTTTAATAATTAAATTACCTTCAATTTATTCAACTGAAACAAGCATGTTTATGTATTGTATTGACTTTCTACAATATGTATGATGATGAGTTCTTTTCTAAAAAAAACAAAATTGATTCAAGCTTCTTTATATACAATGAAATTTCTTGAATGATTTATCATTCTAAATGAAAACCTGTTTACAAACAGTGACCACTTCATCAGTATTAATTCATGAATTACAATGCTGTTAAAGGTACGAGGGCGGTTATCATTTCCCGGTTGCTCACACTGTGGAAGGGTTCTTCTAGAGGTACCTGAAAAGGAAATATCGTTAGAAGTGATCTTAGTGACCTGAGAGCGTGACGGCAGTGCATAAGAGACAACTGCTTGAAGTCGGTCATACACAATTTTTCTGTGAGTAATTTTCGTGTTACCTCCGTACTTGTTGAGACCTTACCGCTGGCGACAGATATTTGTGGGATAAGGCGAGATGTGCATTTATAAGGTCGACCTTTTCTAACGCCAACCTTCCTTTGTGCGAAGATAGCATCGCTGTTATGCTTGTTGTCTGAAGGAAACACCTTACTGCTGTCACATCTCTGAACAGTCAGCAGTACGACTTCGCCTTCGGACATTGAGTTTGCTGCTTTTAGATTTGCCGCTCTTGAACCGACCTGTCTGGCATGGTAGAACGTTGAGGAACGATTGTCCCAGTCAGTATAGCTTGATTGGTCATTACGATAGGTAAGCGCGACCACCACATCATGGTAAAAACAATATTAAATATACATTGTGGGAAATCTCAATATCGATGCTCACATAGTAACTTGTGATAAATATGACTGACACACATAGGTGAAGTCAGTTCTATTGATGATCACGATAAACATCAAATAGTCATGAGAATTAAGAACTTAACGAAGATATTTCAAATAAAAAGTCACTATCTTATTAATAAAATATGTGTTTTGAATTGCAATCATTGAAAGAAGTAATGAATGTCTCACCTTTTCAACTTATATTATCACTAGCTAGTCAAGAACATAATGATCTATGCATATATTCACGCTAGTTAATCATATCATTTTTATATTCCATAGTAAAAAGTAAAGGTCGATTACACTTTATATAGACAATTTCATCTAATAATCGATTCGAAGTTGAAACAATATCATCAAATGAGAGTGTCCCATTATCTATTAAACGATAGTAGAGGAAAATAACATAGATACCATTAATATAGATCATATATGTGTAAAAGTGTTCAGACAATCAGAATAAAGTATTCTTATGGGAATATTCTAGTTGTAACACTTGCTAATCCTTGTTACTGTTTACCTAAGCAATGAAGACTATTCTTCTAATCGGTCATTAATAATGGGATCCGGTAGCTGCGTTTCATAATATAACCAAGGTGTCTTTATGATAATATGATCTTTCTTTATCCAACAGATCAGGTAAATGATCAATTAATGATCATTTTACAGATTGAGTATGTGTTAAATAACTTATTCTTTTGTGCTATCTACGTACAGCTCAATTTGTGTTGTAGATTATTAGATGTTTATGATGCATATGACTTATATTCAATTATAGTAGAAAGTAACGATTTTCAGTGTAACAATATCAACTGATCCAGAGGGGAGAGACTATAATTTATGGACATACCAATCACATCTGAGATAGTGGATCTTAGATTTTGGCACGAAATTCATTCACTCATTTGGCTAAATAGCGTTTTGGCATTTTAGCTTATGTCAGTACGTGATGAAAACATTCAATCTAATTCCTAACCGTACTATTCCACTGTAAATCCTAATCCTAGTTCATTACACTAATATATAACCCTAATTTAACCCCAGTAAGTAGGTGGATATTCCAAGGTCATTTTAACGTTGCTTAAAGGTTGTCCATGAATTGTAGTCTTACCATCCAGAGATTAGTCAGATTTTATGTTTCTTCAACAAAATGTTAACGGCAATATTATCCCAATAATTGTCCAGAATTTTGACAAAAAATTACCCAAGTTCCATTGAAGACCTGTAGTTGTTACTTGACATGGTTGTCCAACAGGTATTAAACCTACATGTTGTGCTTCGTATCCTGTGTTAGCACGTATAGTATGTTCACCCTAAAGTGTTGTTACAAGATTAGATGATATGCGAAAATGGACACTTACTTCATCCAACAAGAACGTAACTGAGCACTCGCTCACCAGAAGCAATGGAATGTTAGTTAACTTCTTTGTTTCATATAGAGTTTTAATTAATCCCATTTCATGATCGAACCTCCCACCGCTCATTTGCACTGCAATGAGTACATCTAATTCCGCCTGAACGCTCAAATTAATTGTTCAACTATATGCGACTTGCATTGTTTTGTTCTATACTATTGATAATTATACGCACACATTTTTTGAAATCAGTTTCTTCTTGATCAGGTGTTTCGATGACTGCAACATTCTTCTGATCATAATCGCTAGAATATTACGAAGAATGAAGAATCTTACTGCTGAACGATAAAATTCCAAAACTTCTGGTTGAATAGAATCAAAATCTCCAGTTAAAAAATGTGGGAAATAATTAGTTCTGTAATTTATATTTCTGTAAATATGGTTTGCAAACCCATCTACAAAAGCTACAGGATAAGCTGAATAAAAGAAACAAAGCTATTATGAATAGGAGATAATACCATTTTTCCATAGTCGTTTAAAAAGTGTCTCCGGTAAAGATGTTGGATGATTTAAGTAAATAACAGCCTTCTTTATATCTGTAAGCGGACACTAGTATACAAAGCCTTTTTACCGTCTTTAAAAATAGATAGAGGTGTATAGATCATCTTTATCTAAAATAATACAAAAAGTACAATTAGGTAAGACATGATGTTTGCTAACTAGTCAGACCACGAGGAATAAAAAATAGTGATGCTCACAAAAAAAACTGAAATGAGACATAACTAAATGTAACCAGTTACATACAAATAAGTGCTACCTGTAAACGGTGAGTTTGGTAGTAGAATAGACACTAACAATATATAGTACGAAACGGGTTCGAACTAGATTACGTTTTTCTAACTAATATTAACAAAGTCCAGACAAGACGAAAATACAGTAATGATGATTTAAGCGAAATTGAAGACTTGGAGGAAAAAACAACAAACTTGTTATGGTTATTATAGTATAATTTTGAAGACCAGAAATGTCGATGTCACTGCAACTTCATTTCATAACATCTGGTCTCTAACCACTGCTGATATCCAAAACAGTCATGGAAATACTAAACCGGGGCAAAAACGCATTCACTTAGAATAGTAAATAACACTGTATTTAAAATAAACTTCAAATGCTGATCAACGAGTTGATCTGTAACCTACATAACTCTTGTAAAACTAATTACATGTTAGTAGCTATATGGCTATATAGAGCTGAAGGTCTCATATGAGGCTGGAGGTTCGCCATTGTTATTGTGGACGGTTCGGCATTGCTTTGGCAAGTTTTGCCGACTGTTCATGCAAAAAATCGGTTTGCTGGTTAACCGACTTCATTCATACTGGTGGTTGCTTGTCAGTGTTCTCAAGGGCCATTGTCGTTGGGACATTGTAAGGCATGCCGCCATTGCTAACATTAACGAGTTTGACTGTCGTGTAAGCGGAATAGGTCAACTTTGGCCTGTTCGTGCTGTGCATAATTGATTCACGCGATCATTGATCGGAATAACTATACACGTGGTGTGAGTGTGTATATGAATGGTGCGAATGGTTCACCAGGGTGCTTGGTACCTGTGTGGTTGCGTCACAGGATTAAGCTGTACTATTCAGATTATAGCGTTAAAGCCTGTACGGTGTCTGGTTCCCCTGCTAAACGGGGTTGAGCTGTACTGTTTAGGTTTTTACATGAAAGTCGTCTGGTTCTCCTGAAAACCAATGTAAAATTACCCTGGCCCACAAGGGTATATTATATAACCAACTATAATGTTAGTAGGTGCAGAAGATTAGACCCCTTCTGTAGATTTGTACATGGTTGTGTTAGGGTGGATTATCAGACTTTGGACCCTATGGTTAAATCATTTACTTCCGAAAACCGGTCTCTGACATCGCGTTCAAACCACTGGAGTTTGCCTACCTTGACCCGTCGTATTACTACTTCCAGGTGACATAAAAGTTTCGGAAGAGACGAAGATCCGTAGCTTCATCTTGAACCAAGATTTATGTTTTTGTGACAATAAAAGTATAATTTATGAACAATCTTAATACAACCATTACGAATTCCCAAATAGTTCTTAGTCAGTCAGGATACAGCCATTGTAGATGGATAGTCTGTGAAGAAAATAGTAATATTCCACAGCACGAACTGATATGATATAAGACGATCAATGTCTTCTACCGGCTATTCTATCTATAAATATAAAAAACGATATATTGACACATCGTTATAGATATAGATTGTGGAACTCTTTGAAGGACCTCGACATGTTTTCCTGGTTAAAATTGGGTGTTCCGAGTAAAGACTAAGGGTTTACAGTCTAGATTTTTACTAAGAAATGACACAATCCATGACGTGAAGTGCTCTGCAACCATCTAGTAAATGAATTTTGCTCAGAAGCACAAGAGAAACCATCTGATTGATTCGTCCATAAAATGTAGTTCTAAAAGATTAATTTTCGCTTCAGAAATAAGGGTTTAAGATGACAACTTAAAGGTATTGTCGATTTTCCGATTTTGTTTACCACCAAAATTGACAAAATTAGGTGTACACCTAATTGGCGAGACTCTAATTTAGGGACGAGCCAATCAGAAGCGTTTGAGCAATTTCAAGGTCACGGAGCCAAGTTCAACACGCGCTGCTAACATACGATCGGTTCACAGCGGATTTTAGAGAGTAGGTGATTAATGAGAGGTTACAACAGATAGAACGGCGAGACTCTAATTTAGGGACGAGCCAATCAGAAGCGTTTGAGTAATTTCAATTATTAGTCAATCAGAAGACAGCATAAAGTAAAAATAAACTAAAAGAAAGTAATAAATTACAGTGGATATTCTTCTTTGACATGATTTAAAATTTCGTATGTTAGCATCCTAACCCTAACCCTAAACCCCCACCTAATCTTAACCCTAAACCTTAACCCTCAACTAACCCTAACCCTACACCTTAACCCTAAACCCCCACCTAACCCTAACCCTAAACCTTAACCCTCAACTAACCCTAAACTCTAACCTTAACCCTAAACCCTCAACTAACCCTAAACTCTAACCTTAACTCTAAACCCTCACC